GGATGATCATCGAGTGTTCAAACGATGACGTCCAAGTCTTGAGGACGGTCAAAAATGAGATGTCTACACTTATCTGTTAAAAGGGGCTCATTCACTCAACTCCTTTACTTTGGTAATATTCACTGGATATTAGCTCACTCTTTATTTATGTGTGTAGGTGAGTAGCGGAATGTCCAGTCTCAGCCCTAGTGAACTCGTTAAGGATATTTGATATCGTGGAGTTTGCTTTGGATGCCTTACGTGCTTTGGACGCCTTACGTGCAAGGCCTTGTTTATGATTTTTCCCTTTATTTACTTCTGTAGTCCCGTAGGACCAAGTATGTATCTAAGTATATAACTTAGTTTCTGTTAAGATTATTTTTGAATGACCTTGGATATATGTATATCTATATTGACTGTTTGGTGTGAGTTATTAATATAATGTGGAAAGTTTTTGTAATGCCATATATGCACAACTCATTGGACAAAATTTTTAATTTTGTTTCTGCTTCTGGCCCCCTATTAATATTAAATGTGACTGATTTCTGACTGAGGCCCTAGGTAATCTCATGATTACTGGTCAGTTAGGATCCTAACCTCTAAGAGAGGGTTATGGTCAAGACAGAGTAGTATTAGAGCATGAGTATTTACTCATACACTTGTCCAAATGAGCAATAGAGTGTCTAGAAAAGACGTAAGTTGCATTCATGTGGTAAATATATGCTTGAATCCATTAAGAATATGCTAAATTGTTCTGAAATATGTGACTACATGATATATGAACTGTTGCCTATCTGTATATGCGTCCTCTTTCTATCTATGCATATTGTGTACATTGTTTTTGTATGAAATATAATGCAAGTCTCATCAGATAATGGTGAGAACAATATCTGTAACAGCGCCCGCGTGGGACCTCGTGCTACAGTTCGGACTCGATTTGTGTCACGGTTCTTAATCTGAACCAAAGAGTCCAAATCCGACAAATCGTTTTGAGAAACAGATTTTTTTGAAAAAGTAGTGCCAAACATGGACTGCTTTGCCAGATACGGAGTCGCCACCTAAATATTTTTTTTTATGGGAGAATTTAGGAAACCCTGACTCGGCGCCGAAGGCCACATGTCCGTCATCACCGGAGTTGTCTCGGCTCGGGAGCTTGGGTACGATCGGGGAAGGTCAGCTATGAGCACCCCCTTTCGCCCGGTCCGAAGACCGGCCTCTACTAACCGTGATATCCAATTTTGAAAACGTTACGTGTTCTTAAACCGGTTATTAGCCTAGAATTACTATGTGATGCGCACAGTGTACAAGTATAGACTGGGCAGCCTGAATTGGAACAAAACATCTCATGTTCGTTTTGAAAAACGGTTTGGAGGTGCAACTCGCAAGTAGGCTAAGACATGGATTTTGCCACCCTCGGGTGGGCTTAGAAAACATGACTTTGCCACTCTCAAGTGGGCTTAAAACTCACAGTCAATGCATTATTCCAATTCAGATAATCCAACCTTCACCCACAGACATTCAAGCA